TTTTTACTGTGTGTCATGATTTTATTTGTAGGGTTGCAATAAAAGATTGATTATTAAGTAGAAGTTTTGTTGAAGTATTTCTGTTTCTGTTAACAGCTTTTATCAAGTAGAATAGTACTGCATTTAAATTATTTTAATAACATAATAGAAGATACAAAATTCTTAAATATTTGTCGTTAACTTCTGTTCAAAGCTAACAATAACTATGTGTCTTCATGTGAAATTCCATTCTCCATTTGTTTGAGGTGTGCAATAATTGAATTGATCCAAGTGAACACTCCATGGTTATCCCTAAAGCTTATGTAAATACCAATTTAGATCCAAGTGAACACTCCATGGTTAGCCCTAAAGCTTATATAAATACCAATTGAGATCCAAGTGAACACTCCATGGTTCGCCCTAAAACTTCTGTAAATACCACTCTTTGATCCAAGAAAATGATTACAGGAAAAAAAAATCTTTGGGCAAGGCTTATGTACTTTTTACTTACTGAAATCTCTTTAGCATGTTAATCAAGAGAAATTTTGTTTTCTAGTTACCTATTCAAACAGGAGGAGCTAAATGCGAGTTGTTTTAGGCATGTAATCATAGTCTATAGGTATAGAGGTGATCTGGTTTTCCCATATGCCATCAGCATTGTGTATATATATATGTAATCCATCCAGTGTAAGAATGCGATGGTTTCCCAGTTTCCATTTTGGTAGTCTACTTGCACAGAAATCCGTAAGTGTTGTGTCCGGTAACTTGACCAATGTGTCTTCATGTGAAATTGCATTCTCCCTTTGTGTTGGAAGTGTGCAATAATTGAATGGATATGACCAGGAAGCAACTTGTACACATGTGACTTGTATTGTTCTTCTGGAAATCCTTCTTGATTATGTTGTTTGGGGCATGTGGGTGGGTTTCACCAACAACCTTTGTGTTGGTGAATTTCACTTGTTACATGATGCCGCAGGCTTAGTTTAGTGAATTTGAGGTTCCATGGTTTGCTTTCTGTTACCACAAAACAATTGTGCTCTGCATTTTGAGGCTGAGGGTGCATTATAAAAACGATGGTAAAATCTCACTACTTGGGTCTCACAAGTATTGATTAGCTGCCCTCTAGTTTATCACCTCAAAATTTAGGATCGCTAATGCAGGTAGCCCTTGAATAACTTCCACAAAAGTCAACAAATTAAACAAAACTTCACACATTCCTTACCATGACTGTGGTATGACTTGTTGCAGGTCCCTTTGTGGATGGTCCCGGTATCCTAAATTGTTCCATTTTCCTTTGTTTTCTAATGCAATTAAGTAATAGGGACATTCCTGTTTTGAAAATTCTACCCCCTCCCCCCAACCTGAAAACTCTTACATAATCTGAGTGTATGAATATTTTGCATCAGAAGAAACTGTTACATAACCTTCCCCAAAGAAATCAGTTTTCAGTAGCATCACATTGCTTGCAAAACATCAGTGTCAGATTGAAGTTCGAGTACATCCTGTTTTTTGTAAATACTAGTATGATTTTTTGTATTATTATATCTT